GTACTATACTCTATTGGGTTATATGTCTAACTATTCAATCTCTACAAAACTTTATTAATAATTTATTATAGTATATAAACGACTTTACTACGTGTACTAAAGTGGTTGCACTAAAAGAATTATAAAAATAAAAAACTTACGATGCAACTTTAGTTGTGGAAGCAGAACTCATAGGAGCTTGTGATTTAGATGAGTCTTGCGACGATGTAGGACCCACAGATTTCGAATTTCCATGTGTCATTGCTTTATCATTATCTACTTCTTTTTTAGTTACATCACTAGCTTTATCACTACTACCTACAGGAATTCCCTGAGCAACCTGAAATTCTCCAGAAAACTTTTCACCAGTACCATCATTTATAGTAAAAACATATGTACCGGGTGGAACACTAACTTTCCACTGAAGTCTACGAAGAGTTAGATCAACTTGATCATTAATTGTAGTTGATTCGCCAGTATCTCTGTTTTGAATGTGAAGGCTACCGAATAAACCTGACGATTGACCTGTAATGTCCCAACCAATTTGAATTCGGGCTCCTGTCGCGACTTTACCGATGGGTGTATTAATTACAACATCTTTTTTTTTTTATATAGTGATGGAAAAATATGATTTTTTTTTAGGTGGACACGAAGATATGAATTAAGATTAGATATTAATTGAATTATGTTAATTTTGAAGTTGTTCTTTTACAATTACCTGAAGCGACAAAAGTCATGGAAATAAAGAAAATGATCACAGGACATACAACGAAGCGATTGAATTGATTCATTTTATTAATTGAAAAATAAACCTAAAATCTTTAATAAATATGTTTAAAAAAAAAAAAAAAGAATTGTTTGGCTGTTTGATCGAACTGATAGTTATAAATGATGAATTATAAGAAAACGATTCGTTATATATTAATTCTTGGTTCGAGTTAATCTATCTCACTTTCATGATGGCTTATTTGGCGTTTTTTAAAAAGTAAAAGTTTATCAAATGTGACATTACGAAAAGACATAATTATTACGCTTTGAGTTCGTGAATAGTAAGTTATCACTTAATGAGTATGTGTTATGAATTATCCGCGTAAGAAAAAGAATTCTAAAAATAGATTTTATATTAACAATATCATCATCCTGACTATATAAAGTAAAATTTTTATTAAGTTAATCTTATAAAAGTTGTAGAGCTAGTTTTTGTGATTCTGATAATAACAATATAAATAAAATTGTCTTGGTGTTAAGGCTGTTAATCGGTCCCAATCGGTCCCAATCGGTCCTGAGATTATTTAATAAATTACTAGTCCCAGAGAAGTATAATCGTTTATCGCCAATAAGTAACCTACCTTGAAAACTTCCTGGGAAGAAACTTTATTAATAACTTTTTTTAAAAAAATAATAAAAACTGTCAATTTGCTTGGGACCGATGCTAATCAAATCAGTCCTAGGACCGATTTGATTAGCATCGGTCCGAAGCAAATTACTAGTTTTCAAAATGATTTTTTTAAAAAAAGTTATTAATAAAGTTTCTTCCCAGGAAGTTTTCAAGGTAGGTTACTTATTGGCGATAAGCGATTATACTTCTCTGGGACTAGTAATTTAAATTATCTCAGAACCGATTAGGACCGATTAACAGCCCTACTTGGTATTTCCTGAGAGATCTTAACTTTTCTCTTACAATCAGATAAAAAAATTTTATATAATTATAAAGAAAACCAGTTCTAGTAATCTTATTATCATTAGAATCACAAAAACTAGCCCTATAATTTTATTAAAAAAGCTCGCAAAAGATTAACTTAATAAAAATTCACTTTATGTAGTTAGAAATGATTATATATATGTTTATATAAATAATTCTAAAAATTTATTTTTAGATTCTCCTCCTTTCGCGAATTATTCATTAAATTAATAATAATTATTATTGATCTAAACTTAAATATTTCAAAAGCTACATCATTAGCCTTTGCAACTGACATAAGTGTAAAAAGCTAATTCGTTATCTTTTTTATCAGAAACATTCTTATTTACTTGTTTAAATATTTTCGAATGATTGATATTAATTTAGTTTATAAATAAATACTAATTTATATATACCTTATGTTTACTGTATGCTATTGAAGAAATCACAACCTTTGATCTTTTAGATAACTAAGATTAATTTTTTTTTTTGAATTTTAAGGTGAGGCCATGCCTCTAACTTTATTGAAACTCAATTGAACTTATTTACAAGAAAATTACAAGAAAAATTACATATGAATTTCATATCCAAAAGATGTCAAGAATAGAGACTTAGACAAAATTTTTTGCGGTTTAAACCTACCAGAATGGTCAAGGCTCACCTAGATTTTAGGGTTTAGAATTAAATCGAGAGAGTTAATTTGATATTTAATCTATTTTGGATGGCAAGTTTTAATTTAACACTAGCAATAGAGAAAGATAAAAGTTAAAATTGAAAAGTAGATAAAGATAAAGAGGATAATGAAGTATAAAAAGAAATAGAGGCTTGAAATTTGGAGATACAGTAAGGTAACCAAATATGAGTATAGATTTGTTAATTAAAATATAGTAAAAATTTAATAGTAAATGTGCAATTTTGTTAGATGATATAATAATATTTTTAAATAGTAAAATAATATCAAGTAGAATTAGAATAAATAATGTGGATATAAGAGATAGTATATTTAATTGATTGTGAATTCGTATACTATAGAGATTTGTAATTTGATAATATAAACTAAAAATAGTATCACTAGTTATTTTTAAAATTGATAAGTTGAGTATATACTATAATAAATTATTAATAAAGTTTTGTAGAGATTGAATAGTTAGACATATAACCCAATAGAGTATAGTAC